TGGAAGCTCCCATGACCTCATGACTTGTTCATGCTGCATGCTTGCAAAACCAGCTTCAAGTGCATGATGCTAAGCTTACTGTATTACCTGCACAAGAAAGAGCCAGGCCCCCTTGGCCCACAGCTGCAGTGGCCTCTGAGTGCATGGATGGCTAAATTTGGAGAAATGCTTCCCTAGGCAGCCCCGAATGAGCAAGGTGCCCTGGGGCTCTCTTCTCAAAGCAAAGTCTTTTAAACAACTTTACACTTTTATACCCTTGAGCCTGTGCTGATGAATGATGTCTAACCAATTACTGAGATGCCCTTGAGGCATCTTTCCTATTGTCCTGTTGCAAAGTGCTTGGTTTCTTTTTAATTGCATCAGTCTCTTCTGCAACCACTTTCTCCTTAGCTCCAAATTTACACATCCTTCTTTCCTGGCCAAACTGCACATTTTTCAAAATTTTCAGTTCTGCTTTTTTTCTTTCTCCCTAACTAACAACAGCCAGCAGAACCTATGCCATAGCCTGAATGTTGTATTGTCTTGAAATTTCCTCTGCCAGATTAGTCTGCCATCCTTTACCTCAGGCTTGCACAAAGTTTTATGACATGGAAAAATGTAGACTGTTACACAAATGGCCTGTAGTCCATTTCTCCACAGAGTCCTTGTTCTCTTCTGAGATTTCATGAGAACACTTTGTCGTTCCCATTCCTGTATTCTGACCTTCTGAGCCCCCACTGGAATTGCCCATCCAACTCAGCTTACAGCATTCTAGGGATTCTCCAGCCTTTATCTCTAAGTCTTGCTAACCTCTCAGGCAAACCAGTTGCAAAGGCTAATGATTCATATGGCTAGGTACAGTGACAACAATGACTTCACTTCTCTGGTACCAGTTTTTTGTACTGGTCACCTTTCCATTGCCGGGACAGATTCCTGACCTAACAACTTAAATATTGGCTCACTTTAAAGTGGTTTTGGATTCACAAAAAGTTAAGCAGAAAGCACAGTTCCCATATATCCCCTGTTCTTTCTTTCTACCACAGCCTCTCCTGCTATCAGCATCCACCAGAGTGGGACATGCGTTATATCCATGAACTACCAGTGACATATTGTTATCACTGAGTCCATAGTTTACATTGGTTCATAATCTACATTGGTGCTCTGTGCATTCAGTGGATTTTGAGAAATATATCACAATATGTGTTCGTTATTTCAGGATCACAGAGAGCAGTCTCACTGCCCTAAAAATCTGTACTTTGTTTTTTCATCTCTCCTTCCCTGACCCCTACCAACCACTGATCTTTCACTGTCTCCACATTTTGCCTTTTCCAGGATATAGGGCTGGGATCCTCGCATTATGCAGCATTTTCAGGTGGCTGCTCTTCTTTAGTAGTATGCTTTGAGGGTAGCACCATGTCATTTCATGGCTGGAGCTCATTCTACAACTTCTTATCCCCAAATTTCTTTCTGCTTTGCCTCAAAGGAGGGAGATGCAGAAGTTATATTTTCCTTCCCTAGTAGAAGCCTCTGTTCCTACATCCACATGGGCAGCAGGAAGGTGGACGATGGTCATGGAGCCTCTGCCACCTGGTCCTCTGTGCTGCAAGCAGTAAGCATTTGCATTCCTCCTCATCCACCTCCTCTCTGCACCCTCCTGTATCTCTCCACAGCAGTCTGGAGCCTTCTGCCTCTGGCTTTGGGCTTTTGCACTTGTGGTCCTCCTTGCTGTCTTCGCTTCTCTTGCCTTTTCTGTTCCACACCTTGTCCCTTTGCTCTTCTCCTCCCATTCAGCCCCTTCTTGTGTCCCCCCCACAACATACCTGTGCGCTCTGCTCTGGCTTACCTCCTGCTGGCTCTCAGCTGCACACTGATCCCTGACTCCCTGAAGTTATTGGACCTCACCCGGCAGGGCGGGGCAGGCTGAGGCATGGGCGGGTCAAGGTGCGGACTGTAGCTCAGGAGATTCCTCAGCAGTGGGAGGATGGGGGTGCAGGCGCCTGCAGCGCGTGTGTCCTGTCTGATTCCCTATGATTTCTGTTGTCACAGTGCTGTCTTCCATGAGAACTGACCTTGGCTTTCCTTTTTACACACTGTGTAAGGCTATGGTCTACTCATGTGGATGTTGTGTTTCAGAGGAAGATATGTGGACAAGGGGGGATTTACTAGCCGGTATTATTACCTGAGGCAGACTTGTGGATCAAGGCAGGGGCTGATAGGGACTGAGGGCCACAGCAAAACAGAGACTTTGACCCATGCAAAACGGGGAGACAGAGATGGGGCACTGGGGCGCGACAGGCCACTGAGCTGGGCCTCTGGAAGAAATCTTGTTCACCGTCTCTGGGGACTGTGGCAGGAATGAGAGCAGGGAGGATGTGGCTGGGAGAACTCTGCTCAGAGTGGCTTAGGCTGTGGCAAGGAGTGCAGATAGAAGGGGAAGGGATGCTGGGAGCAGGAGGTGCCTCTGCAGGGAGGGGACAGACTAGAACTGCTTATGAGGAACAAATGAGCGGGAGCTGGGAGCTCCTGGTTAGAACAGCCAGAATAGAGTTATAAAAAGTTCATGGCTTGGAAGAACCAAGAGGTTATTGTTACCTCGGTTCCCAAGCTGCCATTGCTAAAATATGCCTTCCTATTTTGTGGTTACATAGGTTTTTTTTTCTCACCATTATCTGTTCTGCTCTTCGCTTTCCTGGCCATTTCAGTGTTTAACGGAGTGAAACGATTAGTTAACTCGATAGAAAGCCTGCAATTCCAGAAGGCCTTGGGTGTCACTAGGAGGGGGATTAACTTGCAATGTTAAAGTGATGATTACCACAATGAAAAGAAAATCTTACCTCTTTCATCCTTAATGTCACTGAGGTTTGAGACTTAGATATTTTCAATTACAGCCTCACCCACTCTACAGAGAGCTGATAGGGTTCCAGGAATGACTGACTTTGAGAAGGTGGCTCTATTTCTGTTCTTCAAAAGACAGTTTTACTGGCCTGATGGCAAGCTAAGAGAAGACACTGGCAAAGATTAAAAGTGAAGGGGCCATATGCAGAACAATGAGGTTCGGCCCCTACTTCACACCTCACATAATCTTGGACTTCATATTGATCAAAGACCTAAATGTAAGAGCTGGAAGCATCGAATTCTTAGAAGAAAACAGAAAAGCAAATCTTGATCTTGGGTTTGGCAAGGACATCTTAGATGTGATGCCCCCCCACACAAAAAGCTAAAGAAAAGAAAACATAAATTGGGCATCATAAGTACGGAAACCTGGCCATGCGTGGTGGCACATGCCTGTCATTCCAGCACTCAGGAGGCTGAGGCAGGAGGATTGTTGTGAGTTCAAGACCAGCCTGGGCTACAAAGTGAGCTCAAGGCCAGCCTGCACTGCACAGTGAGACCCTGTCTCAGAAAGACAAAAAAGAAAAAAAAAAGTATGGAAACCTGCTTTGCTTGGAAGGAAATGAATAAGAAAGTGAAAAGACAACACTCAGGATGGAAGAAAACATTTGCAAACGGTATAGCTTCTAAGGAAATTGTATCTAGACTATGTGAAGAACTTACAACTCAACAACACAAGAGAGCTCAATTAAAAAAATGGGCTGAGGATGGGACCCAGTGGCAGAGCAGTTGCACAGGCCCCTGGCTTCAGTCTCCAGCAACACACACACACACACACACACACACACACACACACACACAGGGCAAAGGACTTGAACAGACATTCCCTGGAGGAAAACTTAGAAATGGCCAACAAACACATGAAAAGCAGTTCAGCATCATTTGTCATTAGGGAAATGAAAATCAAGCCAACAGCAAAAACATTCAAAACCTTCTCTACTGTTTTGAAATAGTCAATGAAGTACCATCGCTATAGTTTTTTGACTCTGCCACAGAACATCAGGACTTACTCTCTTACCCAGCAGCATCCTGTACCTGTGAAGCATCTCTTCTCCATCCTCCAGTGCTCCTGCTCTTCTCAGAGTCTGGTCACCACTATTCTATTCTCTACCCCTGTAAGATCAATGTTTTAGCTGTCCCGCATCAGTGAGCACATGTACGGGCTTTCTCTCTGCACCTGATCTATTTCACTTACTATAATGTCCTTCAGTTACACCCATGTTGCTGGGAGTGACAGAGTTTCTCAAGCCAAAGATACCATAGTGTCTGAAATGACGGATGTGTCTAGTTCCCTCATCATTGCACATTGTACGCATGCATTGAAGTCTCACACTGTACTCCTGAAGCAGGTCTAATTACTATGTGTCAAAATAAAAACATGTACTTATGAAGAAATAATGAGTTGTCACTTTGCATCCACTAGGATGACTAGAGTGAGAAATTAATATAACAGTAAGTGTTGCTAGGATGTGGGGAAATTCAGCCGTCCCACACAGCTGGTGATGATGTAAAATGGGGCAGCCACTTCGGGGGAACTGGGAGCTTCTCAAATGACTAAACTCAGACTTTCCATCTGACCTAGCAATTCCACACCTAAGTAAATACCCCAGGCAAACAAAAACATATGTTCACACAGAAGCTTTTATGTGAACCTTTATAGCAGTGTTATTAACAATTGCCAAAAGGTGAAAAATATCAAATGTTTATCAGCTGTTAAATGGATAAAGAAAGTGTGGTAGATGTATATGATGAAATATTTTCAGCTAGAAATGAGCTACTGATATATGCTACCACATGGATGAACTTCAAAACCAATGTGTTAGATGAAGAAAGCTTGTTACAAAAGATCACACTGCATATGATTCCATTTATAGGAAATGTCCAGAGAAGGTAAATCTATACAGCAGATGGGAAATGCGTTAGTGATTGCTGAGGTCTGAGGTGGAATTGGAGGGATAGGGTGAGAACTGATGGGCTGGGGTTCCTTTCTGAGGTGACAATAGTGTCCTAAAATTGATTAGCAATAGTTGCACACATATCTGGATACACTAACGTCCAGTGACAGGTACCCTTGCAAACACAAGTGCACTGTGTAAGTAAGGTATGTAAATGATGTCTCCATAAAGCTGTTTGCAAAAAAGTGAAGGGACCAATATCTAGAATGTACAAGGAAGTCTTACAAATCTACCCAAAAAAGGTAACAATCTTCATACAAATGTGGGTAAAGGCAACTTATAAGAGAGGAAACCCAAATAGCTAATGGGTCCAAGGAAAGGTGCTCAAGTGTCGTGGTTATGGGGAAAATGCAAAGGGTTCAACAAATGAGACATAATTTCATATCGCCATTGCCAGCGGAAATGAGAAAGCCGGATGATGCCCCGTGTTGGTAGAGAAGCAAGGGAATAGAAAATTGGCGTGACTTGTGCCGAGGGGATGTGGACGGCACAGCCACGGTGCAGTGCGATTCTCAGGGTGTGGACAAATGGTATGGCTGCACATCCTACAGCTCAGCACATCTGCTTCTTGGTGGATATGCCGAAAAGATTCTCACACAAGCCAGGGTGATGTACATGAGTTGTAGCGATGGAGAGCTAGATGTCATCAGGGACCTGAAACTAGGATAGGGGCCGGGGCACCACGCAGCTCTGATGCACGGACACCACTCTCTGGACGGGAGGTGGGCGGCAGCAGCGCCAGAGAGAGACAAGTGGCGTGTTCCTGGCATGGACTTCCACAGAGCTACTCACACGAGTTGACCTTAAAATCATGGGAAAAAGAGGATGAATGCTACAACATGATACTGTCTCTCAGATTAAAACACAAGCACACAGTCACCTGTACATCTGTAAGGACTGATACACATAAAAGAACAACATTAAGTGCATTAGAATGGTGTGCTGGCTGGGGATGGGAGTGGGAATACATACATACATACATACACACATACATATGTATACACATATGCACATACACATACATACATACATGCAAGAGACAAGAGGGGCCTTATATAGATAGATCTCTGGAGCACTGAGGTACCCTGGAATTGAGGCAGTGCTTAGCAGCCGATACCCATGATTGAACAAAAGACTGGCCTGGGAAGACAGACTGGGTGACCACAGGTCATCACACCACAGTTGAGACGGTGCTGGAGCAGGACCCACTGACGTCGGGCACCCAGAGGCTAGGGCTGGTGAGAGAAGAGAGCTGTTGTGCTACAAGGAGAGTCTATTTCCATATTTGAAAGAGTACAGAGGAAGTGTTCTATTACAAGGTAGCGTAGGCTAAATGTGGCAGGAGCGATACATGAGAGCCGGTCTGCAGGGTGGGGAAGGAGATGCCCTCACGACTACAAACCCCCAAGTCCTGTGATTGATTCCCTCTGCTTTACCCTCTGTGGGCTGCAGGAACAAGGGCCACAGACGGGACTTTGGGCCACAGAAAAGGATTCTCTCACAGTACTGGAGTCTGCAAGTTTGAAATCAAGGCATCGGCAGGACTGTGCTCCCATGGAAGCTCGCAGGGAGGGTCCTCTCCTCACCTCTTCCAGCTGCTGAGGCTACCAGTCCTTGGTGGTCCCAGCTTCCTTGGTTCCTTGGCATGAGGGTGCCTCGCTCTAACCTCTGCCTCTATCCTCACCTGGTGTCTTCCCCTGCCACTCGGTGTCTCTTCTATTCTTATAAGGAACCCAGTCATTGGATTAAGTCACTCCCACCCTACTCTATTTAACTATTCATCAGCAACAAGCATATTTGCAAATAAGGTCACATTCTGAGGGCCACGGATTTGGGGGAGACACTATGAAATCCTGCAGACCCTCTGTGTGTACCTCAATGCATAGAGCCCGACACCAGGCAGGGAGCAAATCCCAAGGCCCCTGCCTGGGTAGGGGGTGCTGCAGCCCTGAGCATCCTCAGAGAAGAACTAATGCAGTTCTTGGGGGACATCTGGATATGTCTCTCTGGACAGGAGGTGGGTGGCAGCAGCACCACAGAG